AAAGTGAAAGTGGCGGAAGGTAGAGACTATCTTATCTACATCCTAAGCTCTACTTTTTACCTTCGTTGATACCGCTATGAAATATTGTGAGGGCTGAGCAGTGTGGATAAAGGACAATAAAGCAGTGCACATACTTACACTTAAATCACCAGATCTTTATATAGTTACTGAATTAGAATGATTGACAGTAATAAAATAAAATAAGTTACCGGTTTTCACGTGGACTAACTAGAGCGCAAAAAAGCCATTTATGTGCTTGATATTTAATTATGTAGAGCTAATGTTATGATTGAAACACTTTTCGTATGCAGTCCGTTCTAAACAATTAAGTTATGGTTTATCAATCTTCTATCTAATTTCCCAAACAGTAGTAGGCATAACAAGGGCTCTCGAAATTGTACTGCCTATCGCGATTGCAACGAGCTGCCTGAACGGATTAGTGTTATCCAAACTTTGGCCTAACTCCCTGATCCTTGTTTAATTAAATTGGGAATGGCAGCCCAAGTAACACGCAAGCTGTATATTCACTGAAGTTAAGATTGATTTACGTTTTAAAGTCAGACTATCACTTTAAATCAGTTTTGACTTAGTTTAAATGCTTTTGAGTAGAATGCGGTAAAATTTACAATGCATGAAGCTATTATATGGTCTAAAAAATTAAGTTAATTGGCTTATAATCATACTAAAACATTAATTACTTTTAATATACAGCACCTTTAACAGCATTTACACTAACACAAAGGTTAAAACCGTATATTAGTAAATAAGAAAACCTAATGCATTAAATAAACGTTGTCGAAATATTCTATAGTGCATTCAGATATATTAACACATTTTACAGATTGAACGCATTTTTATGATCTTTTCTTATGCTTATTTACTGCTCAGCATTAGCCAAACATTTACTAAAGTTTTAGCTCTGTTATCTTCTTATTTTATTGTTACTTTAAAGCTTTTAGCACTATTTAGATAAATAAAAAAAATATTTTATTACTTTAGGTCATAATTTGGCCATAAAACCACGAGCCGTATGATTATATTCATTTGTGCGTTAGTAGGTCCTGTATATTCATTAGAAAATTTATGTCGAACGTGTCACGTTATTGACATGAATAAACAGTGGAAAAAGACTTAAGGCCGGGTTGCACCAACTTACTTTAACAAACGTCAAAAATCTGTCAAACCCCATACAAAAAACATCGGTTATCGTCATAGTTACGGTCAAAGTTAGGTGGTGCAACTCAGCCTAAGAGAACAGGTGGAGTAAAGAGAAAGATAAAGACGGAATATTCAAACTTTATATTTGGTTTAAGAAATGCAAAACGTGTTCCAAAAAATGATACACCTCATACACAAAATACAGTACAATCGGTTGTTGTGTGAGTCAAGAAGTTCCGTAGAACATTCCTTCATCCCTTTCGGTCGTTTGCACTATTTTAAAAGGCATCTGAAAAAAAAACAAATAAGCTTATTTATGACTTAATAGAGAAGTAGTTACCTGAAAACTAAATAATTACCCGTATAACGCATACCCTTAAAAAAACGACTACAGCAACACTACTAACTAGTTACAAAAAGTTCCTTTAAATTATTACTATTACAATGAGCGAAAAATAAGATAGGTAGCTATATCGTGTTTCATTACAAATTACATTTGTAGTGATAATGATTTTATACTTAACACTTGTCAAACTAGGTACCTACCTAATTGGAGACAGATAAAATTGAAAGACGTGGAGTAGGGGATCATGACGTGATTAAAGGATTCTAAATTATTGTTTCGGTACCCTGATTAACACTAAAGCAATCCATTTTTATGACGTTTAAACCTAATGAACATTATAACATACCTAAAAAGTGTTACAGTAATGCTAAAGATATCACTTAGATATTTTATATGTAGGTTGAATGACTTAACCATTTTCTTTTTACTATAATAAGACTGACAACATTAAAAGACACTAGTTGAAAGTTTAAAACATTAATATTATCTGACGCCATTTGCTTTCTGTTTTCTCTAACATAGAAAATAAAATTATAATACACATATGCATGAAATACTACTTATTATCCTTTTCTTACAAGCGGAGTATCGATAGAAGCAATTTTATAAGTTAAAATTAATCAAATCGTTAAAAAAATCACAAAAAGTGTCATATGTCGATTCTAAATTTGTCCCTATTTTATTAAAAAAAGGATTTCTGTGAGGGCGCGTGAATTATAAACCACAAACATATATATATTTTCACATAAGACTAATACTCCCAGCTCATTTTCATTCTTGAAACAAAAAAATATGATACTTACCTTATGATAAATTATTTTAAACAAAGACATTAAAACATCTCCTCACAACACCATTGCACTGCAATACTCTAAACGAAAAATAATCAAATCGGACAATAAAATGCGATAAGTTTTTTCGAATACTTTCAAACAAACAAAATAAAACGTTCAGCCTTAGAATAAAACGTAACTTTGGCATTGTAATTCTGAAAGCTGTTTCAAAGCTGTACTAACATCTAATAAAATGCTTTTTACATTAGAATATGCTGTCTAACAACTTTACTAATGTCTGTCTTCAATAACATTATAAGCGCTGGTTAGCAGCACTAATAATATTTAATAATGCTCAAAGCCGTATTATTTGGGGCCCAAATTGCGCTTACAAGACACTTATAGACTTTTATACGGCTGATATAGTGCTACATATGCTGCTTATATACTGCTCTGCACGTAGGTTCATGCTGTTGTACGCTTCTTATAATTGTGTTTTGTGTTACTTGGGAGATTCCGGCCGGGGTGACTAAAGATTTAGGAATCTTTAGAATTTCCTGAGATTACAGTATAGGCTAGCGTTTCTTTACCTTTCTTGTCCACGGACTCCTTAGGAAATCAAGCACAATTTTAAGGGTCCTTAATAAAAAAGTAGCAATGAATTCCGGGTTGTACGAGACTTTTGGTGGCTTTTATTTTTAAGTAAAATTTTACTTAAAATTACTTAGTAATTACTTAGCGATTAGATTTATTTTTGATTGTTAAATGACCCATAGCTATGGCTGAGTATTGGCTCCGTGCACGATTACAGCGCCAACTAGCGTCCACAACTTTGTGGGCTCTGTCACATTGACATTTAGGTCGTATATTTGTGAAAAAATATCGAAATGAAAAAATAACAAATATTTTCAACTAATAAATTGTTGTAATACCACGATTTGGGTGGAAAAAAGGTTTTGAAATCATTTTGGTCATTCAAATCAAATGAGGTAAGTCCAAAAAGTGGGTTTAATTTTGATTGTGTCAGGGTTTGTTTACTTCATTTATAGTTGTAGTTTTACAGTAAAACAAAAAGAAAAAGCTACTTTAACGGTTTCATTATATAACAGTAAATATATTTAAATGTTTCTGTATCGCTAGTAATAAATTAAATATCGTTTTCAGATCGAAATGAGTATCGTTTTGAAGACCGGGTTTGTGAGAGTTACAATATCAAATTCCAACCACAAACCGTATTTAAAGGAAAGTTGTTGGTATTGGCTGGACAAGTCCGAGATGTAGAAGAATTAAGAACAAAACAAGGGCAGAGTTCAATAATTCACGCTCTCATCATAAGGCAAACATCTGTGCACAACAACTACTGTGACTCATTTTTGTACTACCACGTTGTATAGTTTAGTTATTTCCAAATTGTAAACGGCTATTAAAACAGCCCTATCGAAATACAGTCCACTCTTTTATTTAAGTTCCCAGTAGGACCCTTTTCATGCGATTAATTAATGATATTAAAATGTATTATGTAGAATCGCTTTGCCATTGACAGATACATCTGATGACAGAGCTAACATTATTTCTACTTTTGACCACCATGAGCGCTGCGATAGATTATGTCCCCCCCACCTAGTACTTCGCACCCAGCGAATAGGTACCCTCAGGAATGCATTTTTTCTCATATTATGCGTTTCGGTCAATATTACAGAATATAACAATTCTGGATTTAAAAGCCTGAACTTACCCCCAGGGATACGTGGACCACAGATTAAGAAACACTGGTTTAGGTTATGGTTGGTTAAAAATTAACTATGCATCTAGGCTCATTCTATAAGACTAATAATTGCGCTGTAAAAAAACGGCAAAAGATTTTTCAGGTTGGCTCAATAGATATCTTTAAAAAGGTAAAATGCTACTCTAAGCTCGCTCTTGGAAACGTTCAGAGGGAGGCGGAGCCTGTTGGGGGAAGATAGTAAGAGACCCTGTTATGTTCCTATTTTATGAAACTACCTCTGTCTGCTACTACTACTTCCCTCACTGAGTGAAACGACCACGTTATATTTGTCATAAATGTTAGTCTTTGTCTTTGTTTGTCCTACTTTGTCTAGATTTCTGAACATTAAAGGTTTGCTTTGGGAACCAATGGTCTAGAAGTCTAGAAGGACAGATTTTTAGCATTTTACTCGAACTTTCTGGCCAATTTTTGAAGCTGATAGATACTTTTTTCTCGTTCAGCTAACTTTTCCAAGCGATAACGTTAATAGGCGGACCGACGACCTCAACCGTGCGATGTGGAAGTCATTGGGGGAGGCCTATGTTCAGCAGTGGACGTCCTGTGGCTGAAATGATTATGATGATGATGATGAACGTCAAAAAAGGTCCAATGCATTTTAAGTCTGACTAAATAACGCCATCTAGTATAGCTCCAGTTAACTATATGCTACATTTATGCATGCTTTGTTTTTGTCGCTCGTGTATGTAGACTTCATGTAGTTTTACTTATCATCAATAGATGTCGCACTACTACATTGTGATTGGAAATGAATATTTTGGAAAGTAGTGAAAAGTATCTATAAAATAGATTGTTTATTACACATTGCTGTTATCGCAGTTGATTTATCTTTGATCAGTATTAACGCAATACAAAGTAAAATTATAATTTTAAATTAAAATGAAAGTGTAAAAACCATAGTCGACCTCCTTGATTGTTATATTATCTGTGAAAGCTAAACTGTTTGTCTATGGTGTATTAAAATGGCCGACTCCAGTGATGTTCAATCAGGATTTTATTTTCTTTGTTTACCATAAAAATAGATTATTCGTTTCAATTTATTGACGTTTATGTGACAAAATAAAATGTTTATATGCATAAAAACTTTGAACATTGGTTTATATACGTACAAGTGTGTGATTTGACATAAAACTAGTGGAACCAGTCTCACCTTGTAAAGAGAAAATGGGGAATTGTTTCAGCAGCACTGGAGAGAAAGATTCTAAAAGTAAGAACGAACGAGCAAACCCTCACGAGGAAGATGCTCGACCATTCCAGACGCCAGTGCCAACACCACCCCCTGATCCAATAAGATCGACTGTGAATCAAAGCACGGACACTAGCGAGGTGCCTCCCACCCGTATATTTGTCGCCTTGTATGATTACGATGCTAGGACCGACGAAGACCTTAGTTTTAGAAAAGGCGAGCATTTAGAAATCCTAAATGATACTCAAGGAGATTGGTGGCTAGCTAGGAGCAAGAAGACCAAACAAGAAGGCTACATTCCGTCGAACTATGTCGCTCGCCTGCAGTCCATAGAAGCCGAACCGTGAGTAACCCTATCTGTTTTTATGCAACCGTTTCGATAGTGAGCGGTTCCTGTACGATTTCTTTTCCTTTGTATGTTTTTATAGCAGCTATTATCTTTAAAACAATGAGGTCTATACGAACAGCTGTTTTGTTTGTGTACATTATTGGTTAATTACTTTATTATTGCATACAATTTGTAAAAATCGACTTTAATCTTGTCCTTCATTTGATTTTGCTTGATTAATCTATGAATTTTGAAGATTTTATTTGTTGTTCGTCCCAATATTCCCCTTTGAATCGGTACTTTATAGCCTTATAAGGGATGTAGGTATACTAAAGAAATTCTTCTTCCCTTCCTTCCCGTAGACAAGCTACCAACTGAATAAATTTTGCTCTCCACTTTTAACCCTAAATATTTTAATGTCCTTGATTAAAATGTTTGCAATGGCCACCATCTTGAGTGATTCTCACTTAACCCATCAATCCCGAAGCGGTCACATTAGATCACATAACAATTGATGTCTGTTATGTCTAGATTCGCAGGGCTTGAAGATTTAATGATTGACGTCCAAATATGGGTCTTGGTTCTTTTACATAAAATAATTTGTGTTCCGAGTTGCTGGCTCTGGCGTACAACCAAACATGAACCTGTTACAAAATTAGTAAATTTTAGTTAGGCTAGATAGCACACTTTTAAGCAGACTTTTCACTTTCCAGGTGAGGCTTCTCCAATGTGGTTAAAAATAAAACATACATTAAGTTCATCTGCAAAATCTTGATTTGTAGGCTGATAGTAGACGATAGTAGAAGTTATTAATTTTAGCCAAACAATGATTGATGTCCAAAAATGGGTCTTGGTTCTTTTACATTAAATAATTTGTGTTCAGAGTTGCTGGCTTTGGCGTACAACCAAACATGAACCTGTTACAAAATTAATAAATTTTAGTTAGGCTAGATAGCACACTTTTAAGCAGACTTTTCACTTTCCAGGTGAGGCTTCTCCAATGTGGTTAAAAATAAAACATACATTAAGTTCATCTGCAAAATCTTGATTTGTAGGCTGATAGTAGACGATAGTAGAAGTTATTAATTTTAGCCAAACAATGATTGACGTCCAAAAATGGGTCTTGGTTCTTTTACATAAAATAATTTGTGTTCAGAGTTGCTGGCTTTGGCGTACAACCAAACATGAACCTGTTACAAAATAAGTAAATTTTAGTTAGGCTAGATAGCACACTTTTAAGCAGACTTTTCACTTTCCAGGTGAGGCCAAGGGCTTCTCCGATGTGGTTAAAAATAAAACATACATTAAGTTCATCTGCAAAATCTTGATTTGTAGGCTGATAGTAGACGATAGTAGAAGTTATTAATTTTAGCCAACAACAGATATCAAATGTCTTTGGCAGCAAAACATAATAGATTTTCTAGTTTAAATAAGAGTGATGTTCATAAAATATTATTAATTGATTTGGTGACTCAGTGGCTCAATTATATTAATCGTAGCTAAACAAATTCAGATAAAATAATATGTTCTAATCAACATATTAAGTCACATGGAAAAGCAGGTGATATTATGACTACGTAGTAAACAACGATTAATTAATAACCCATGGTAGTAACAAGTTACTATTATAATAGCACACTTGATATGTTTCAATGGGTAGAAATAATTGATGCCTAATGCAAATTACTACTGTACGTTTAATAGGACAATATCACCACTTATGAATAATGACAACAATTTAATATAAGGAAAATACTTTTATCATTATGTTTGTGCTAATGACTCACTTTCAGTGATAAAATTGTTGCTGAAAAATATTTACAATGTTATCTTAACACTAGAGTGCTCGCGCCCCTAAATACTCCTAGAGTGCTCGCGCGGGTGACATATGTCCCCCATTATGATATGGGTTTATTTTTGATTATCTTATTTAATACAAGTAAAACAATTTATAATATTAAACATCAACTATATTTCTTACTAAATAATTTTAAAAAAGTGAGAAATTATTTCATGAACTCTTATTAAAAACCAAAAGAAATACTTCAATATTTTTCAAATATTTTAGAGTCGAAGAGACCAAAGTAGTTTAAATAGTCGTTTGACCCGTTATTTTGGCAAAAATATCACCTAATTAGAAAGTTAATCAACAGATTGATCTTATTCTTTGATATTTTGATCACAACTCGGGCACGATATGATTTGATGATCTGGACAAAAACGCCTATTCCACTTGTTACATTTGCTTACGAGTGATTCGATTTCTTGCTCTTGTGCTATAAACACATCGTCCTTTGCCACAATACTGGCAAGTTTTGTGCTAGTTGGTGTTCTCCCAAGCCCAGAAGAATCCTGGGTTTTAATTTTATAGTCCTAGGTAAGTTATTACTACATTGCCTACAATCTAAAACAACTAGTTTCTTGCATCAGTTTATGCTTATAAAACAATATAATTATTGTAAATGTTTAAAAAATGGTTAAATATTATAACTTTGAGCTTACATGAAAGTAAACTTGATTTTAAACCGCGACGATAGGGGATCAAACAATTCCTCAAGTGCTCGCGCGGGGGACATGCGTCACCCAAACACTTTAAATGTTTTCTGCACTCACGTTGATGCGTCTAGCAAGATGGCGTTACTACTAAAATGTGCGACAATACATGCTCGAAGAATACATGAGAAGGCAGCACTGTAGCTCGATACCTTGAAAAAATATTTACAAATTTTACACCCTGGGTGACATATGTCACCCGCGCGAGCACTCTAGTGTTAAATTACCGGAAATAATCTGAAATGCTCTCTGTGAGTGTGAGTGACTATATTTTAATGATTAATTTAAATAACTACCTACTAATAGATAATAATTTCATTTCATTTTACTTTCTACTATTGTTGTTTTCATAAGGGACATCAATGTGGGTAATAGTTAATCAAATTTTAGACAATTTTATTAATTTCTTACATATTGTTTTTTATCTTTGTCAGCATTTGATGATAAGGCAATGAAATATTTTATAATTTGCAAAACTTCCTTGTTATTTCAACATTAATCGCTGAAATCGTTTTGCAAATATTTTTCAACCTAGACAAAGATTGCCTGGGCTTAACTACTTCACTCTTCTTTCAGTGTAAATCTTACACTACACACTGGAAGTATGTAAGACTAAGTATGTAGTAATGTATGTCTAGGTCAAACATTTAGTAGAAATGTTTATAACATAATTTATTTTACTGTTTTTAGCAGGGTTACCAAGTGCCAATATTTTTACACTCAAAAAGAATGTCCTTCACTATTGGAGCAATGATTTGACTATTGGGCTGATGTACCACCATGAACACAATTTTCCCACATGGTTAAACGTTCTCAATTTTGTTCGTAGTTCCTATTATTCTGACTCCTCCCCCGTTATTGTTGAGTCAAACTATCGTGCGCGAGTATCAGTTTGTTTATGTGGCTTTAAATCCATTAGCTCTCCCAGGGGTGGTGCTTCCTAACAGCGCTCTGTAACTCGGTGTTGTTGACGATAAAAATTCTAAAAAATACAAACAAATTGATCGCGATTAACGCGCCATTGCGGGAACCGGGTATGTAATTGTGGCTTTTAGTGATTAATATTCTCGCGACCCAAATCGTTTAGCACAGACTGGATGGACAAATTTTTGCCTATATCAAGTAATTTTGTAAATGTTTATAACAATAAAAAATATTTTAACTAGGTCGACTGTATGGCCTAGTATTTAATACCGGACTTTGAGTCCAGTGCCTCTAGCACGAAAAACTTTCGACTTCGAATTGTTTGCGTATTCGAATCGCCATCAAAAGATTTAGTATGATATCCAAAAATAATATTTTCTTGAAATTGATCTTTAAAGTCCGATCGCCTAATACATGACGTCACTAATAACAAATTGAAGACGAGTGAAGTTTGGTTTCATTAGTGCGGCAGTGAAAGTTCAGTGGAATGTAAGCATTATCACAATTCATGCACTCACTATGTTAACACTGCAAACTTAACACGAATGTGCGTATTGTTCTACACAAATATCACACATTTCCTATGGAAATTATCGATGTGACCAATTAAGTTACCCTTATGTCCATAAGATTTTATTTAAACAAAGTTTTTTTTTCGACTGCACAGTAGTTTGTAGAATATGTTTTATTCCTGCTATTTAACATACCTCCCTATGTCAGTAACAAGATTATGTACATGGATATAAAGCTGGATACAGTGAAACAGCAAATTGAAAAGTTACAGTAAAGTTACCAACTGAGACTGGATAGTCACAGAAACGAACTCGCGTCTCAACTGCATGGAACTGGCAGTCTCCACTTTTCTAGACTGAAGAGACATAGCATTCAAAACCTAGCGAAAAGATTCGCAGTGAAAGAATAAGAGATGACTCACTGGACTAGTCTCTTACTGAACGCCTCAAAAACCGGATTGGAATCAGACAGATTATTGGATTATTGTTTCACGGAAACGGATTGCCAAGTAGCAGATTAGAAAAAGGAAAAAAAAATTCCTGTCATTATCATTTGATATACCTACCTAGTGTTAGTACACAATAAACCGTACAACACGCAACCAAGCTTTTAAGTTGATTATATCCTTATCTTTTCGTCACCCCCTAAATGTCTAATGTATGTATGTACATTGTACAAGCCTGCGGATTTTCCTGCATGAACAAAGGAAATTATTCTAACATTCTTTATTTTCTTGTAGGTCATTTTCCCTTTACAAACCTTCATCCCGTTTTCACCCTTTAAGATAACCTATCTATGCACCTTTCCCAGGTCTTCTCTCAGGTTAATAAAAAATAGTTATTTATTATTACCTAACAGATTGCACTAACGTCCTCGTTTTGTGGTTTATTACTACCTGCGTTTTTGTTTAGTTCACTCAACTGACTGTTAACTTGACTTCAATTTGGAATTTACTTCAACTGCTAGTCTGTGTTGGATTGCCTTGTATCCGTGTCATGTACTAATTCAAAGGCGAGTCTTTCATT